CATCTTCTGCCTTGGACAAGCGTTCGCAACACAAGGCCGCCGCGCACTTTGCACCGCGAGCCCCCAGCAGCTGAGTCCGCTCAGTATTTCTTCCAGCCCTCCTTGGACCCTGGAGGCCTCCCCTTGGAACCCTCTGTAGGCTTCTCGGGCGTCAGTTGGAGGCTTCCTGGGAACCCGTCAAAGGTCTTTGAAGCCATCTTGCGGGGGACGGCCCTTGGAGTCTCCTCGCGCTCGCCCTCTGGAGCCCCTCTTGCGGCCATGTTTTGTTCACTCCTTCTGCGATGTCTGGCATCCTCCCCCCCCCCCTCCTCCTCCACATCCTCCTCCTCCCCCTTCCTTTTTGTGCAAGAGCCATGGCACACGTGCCACTTGTTTATAAGGAGAAAGGAAAGGAGGAAAATGAGGAGGAGGAGGAGGAGGCGGAGCAGGAGGAGGAGGAGAAGGAAAACGACCTCCGCGCGGAGCTCCAAGGGCTCTCTCTCTCTATGCTGCGCTCCTGCTCGGCAGCCGAGCGGCCTGGACCTCCACATGCTTGCCCATCGGTCGTTTAGCACCGGCCCGCGTCACGCGGGCCCCGAGGGCCCGCACCACGAAAGAGTCACTCTGGCGAGGAGGCCGCTCGCGGTGCCCGCGCGGCCCTTTCAGCCAGGGCGGCGGAGCGGCCGAGCCGAGCAGGCGAGGCGACCGAGCGAGCGAGCGCGCGCGAGCCTGCCAGCGCGAGGCCCCGAGCGGGCCGGCGAGCGCCAGGCAGGAGACGTGGCAGCGCGGCGTCGGCGTCCGCGCGGTCTACATATGGGCGTCCGCGCAGTCGTTACAAGTACTTCTTGGAGTCCCAGATTCCCACCTGCCTTCAGCGCCTTCCTGCTTCGAGGGTCGGGTGGCTGCACCTTTTCCGACCTCCCGAGGGGGCGGGCGGAGGCCCAATCTCTGCTTCCGGCGCCTTCCTGCTTCATGTTTCTGTCTGCTTTTTTCGACCGATGGGTACGGTTATCAGGCGACGGCACGCATGGATTAAGGGGGCGTGGATTAGCGACGGGTCCCGTTTCCATGGGAAACCGCGGATTTCCGCCGCCAAACGGGGCGGCACGGGCCGCGTTTTGGGGAGGGCACCTCCCCCGATCCATGGATTTGGCGACCGCGCGACAAGTCCATGGATCGCTAATCCATGTTTGCGCGCCCCCGAGCTTGTACAGCTTGCTGCTCCTCCCGACATGGGACACAGGGGGCTCTGCCTGGCGCGCAGCCGATCTCGGCGCCGCCGCGCGGGCGCCCGTCCTCAAAGCACTGGGCGCCCCGGGAACGCAAGCAGAAACTGGCCAGGTGCGTGGGTTATTTCCTTCGCGGTCGTCGTCGTCGTCGTCGTCGTCGCCTCCTCCTCCTCCGCCTCCTCCTCCTCTTCCTTCTCCTCCTCCTTTCCTCCTCCGCCTCCTCCTCGTTCTCCTGCTCGTTCTCCTCCTCGTTCTCCTTCTCCTCCCTGTGAACGTGTGAAGATTTCGTTGCCCTACCTGTACCAACACCCCCTTCGTCCAATCTTGGCGAAGCCTCCGGCGCCGCCTCGGGCGCGCTCTGCGCGCCAGGGAGGCGGCTCCAGCGCCGATACAAGGAGTGCGCGCGGATTGCCGACCGCTCATGCTTATGCTGCTGCTTCTTCTTTTAGCCCAGGGAGAGGGAGGGGAAGGGGGAGGGGGAGGAGGGGAGGAGGAGGAGGAGGAGGAGGAGGAGCAGGAGGAGCAGGAGGATGAGGAGGAGGAGAATACTACGAATAATGGCAATAATCATATTAAGAAAACTAAGAATAATATGAATGATGATAAGAACAATAATCACAATGGTAATACTTACAAGAAGAAGAAGAGTAATCAGAAGAAGAGGGAGGAGGAGGAGGAGGAGGACGAGGAGGAGGACAAGGAGGAGGAGGAGGTTCGAGGAACGAGCGGTCCCTCCCAGCCCCCCGCGAGACTGGGCTGAGCCGCCTGCGGCTCAGCCTGAGGGGCTGCGCCAGCCTGGAGGACGGATTCGACCCCCTGTTCGCGGCCGTGGCGGCGCAGGAAGCGGCCGGCGGTTCCGACCCCCCAGGCCGCTTGACGAGCGTGGGGTGTTCCAGTGTGTGTGTGTGTGTGTGTGTGTGTTTGTGTGTGTGAGTGTGTGTGTGTGGGTGTTTGTGCACGTTCCGGCTGGCCCCCCCCCTTTTCGGCGCTGCCTCCGCCGCAGCCAGTGATTTGCCTGAGCGGGCCCGGCTTCTCTCTTCCCGTCGCGCCGGGGTCTCCTCCTCCTCCTCCTCCTCCTCCTCCTCCTCCTCCTCCTCCTCCTCCTCCTCACGCACACACCGGCCCAATTTGCATCTCATGCGCCCCCCTGATGCCCGATCGTCGGAGCACTCACTCTCTGCCTAGCCGCCGACGCAAAAAAAGTGTTTGTGCACACTCTTCTTTTTTTGCTGGCGCGCGCGCGCCCGCGGGGCCTCCGAGCGACTTTGAAGGGTCGGCCGAGGATTTCCCCGTAATTAGCCGTGTTGGTCGAAGGCCTTGCTAAGCTTGAGACCCGTGCCTGGGCGCCTGTTGAGACCCGTTTCTGGGGATATGTCAATCATTCCGTTGCCCTATAGCGTCCTCCAGTGCCGACGGCACACGTGTTTCCTCAAACCTCGAGGCCGAGCTCTCGAACGTGATGGGCGATATCCAGTCCCCATCTCCAGGACCTAATCACATTCGCTGTGAAGGTACTCCTGTCCGCGATGTGCTCGCCAAAAGCCTGCGGGAGAAGATGCAGATTTCCCGCGCGAGGCGAAGGCCTCAATCCCGATTGTTTGGCGAGGGAACCGAGCGAGAGGATATTCGGGCGCCATGGTTCCGCATTGGCGAGACATGTCCGCGCCAGGATATTCGGGCGCCTTGGTTCCGCATTAGGAAGAGAATGACCACATCTCCGCGCCAAGGTATGGTGACGACGGCAGCCGTTGCGGCACCTCAAACAGCAGCTCGCGCCAGTCACCTCGGCCGTGCCGAAATTCAGGAAAAGTTTGCCTGAATGGGCGCCTACATCGCAGACCTGAGCTTCACGCTGTCCGAGCGCATGGGGTCCCTGGAGAAGCGCATCGCCGTTACCGGCGTGAGGGCTGATACTTTCGAGGCGATGTGCGAGAGCTTGCAGAAGCACCCAAACATGGACGACGACAGTTATGATAACAAGATTCCTCTCGTTTCGCGAGGTGGACGTCTGGACAGCGGAGAGTACGGGCGTTTCGAGTTTCTTCAAGTATGCACAGTCAAGTCCTTGTGGCGACTCTTGAAGGCCTCCTGGGGGCGTCTTGGGTTGTCTTTGGGCGCTGTTGCGCCGTCTGGCACCCTTGGAGGTCGGGCTATTGGCCATCTCGGTGTCGCCTTGGGGCTCTCTTGGGGTTGTCCTGGCCTGTTTTAGGGGCCTCCTGGGGTTTCTGTCAAGCGATCGCCGGGCCTCTTTGGGCGGTTTTAGGGCTATGTTGGAGGCCGCCTCGGCCGTCATGGTCGCCGCGGGTAAAAAAAGTGCGAGGGCGCTGAATTTTCAAGTTTCCCGACGAGTGTAGGGCCCAACATGACAATTTTGCTGATATGCTTGGGGATCTGTTGGTTCCTTCGATTTCTTCCGACCCCGTTTTCCTCTTTCTGCTCTCCTCTTGTTGTCCTCTTCTTCCTCTCCCTATGTCCCTCCATGTGTCCTCCTGCCTCCTGCCTTCTGCCTCCTTTTCCTCTTGCCCCGTCCCCTTGTCTTTTCAGTGTGTTTTTTTCCGCCTCCTCCTCCTCTTCCTCCTCCTTCCCCTGTCATTCTTCCTCTTGCCATCTCCGTTTCTTTCTCCTCCAAGTCTTGCCGACTATGTTGCTTCCTTCTCCTCCTCCTCTCGCATCCGTTTGCTGCTTACTTCTCTTTTTGCATTTTGATGTTCGTCATCCTGTTTCCTCTTTTTGCTCCTTCACGCCCCCTGCCTCTTCTTCCTCCTGTTCCTCTTTCCTCCTCCTTCCCCCCTCCTCCCCCTCCTCCTCTTCCTCCCCCTCCTCCTTCTCCTCCTCTTCCTCCCCCTCCTCTTCCTGCTCCTCTTTCCCTTCCTTTTTTCTTCCTCTTCCTCGTCCCCTTCCTCTTGATCCTCCTTTTTTGTCCTCTTTTTCCCACTCCTCCCCTTTCTCTTCTTCCTGCCTCTTCATTATCCCACTCTTCCTTTGTTGGCCTCCTCCAGCCTCTGCTTCCTGCTCCTAGTCTTTCTGCTCTTCATGCTCCTTCCTTGTGCCACCTTTTGCCCGTGGTTTGCTGTTTCCTCCTGGGGGCTCCTGGCGTCTCCCTCAGCCTCTGCCTTCGTTTTCCGTGCACTCCGGGCTATTGTCCTATGTTTCGGGGTCCGTCATCCCCCTTGATCCTTGTCTCCTCCTTTTTCTTGTGTTTGCTCCTCATCTTCCTCATGTCGGTGGACCGTTTAGGCTTGGCCCTTTCTTCTTTTCCATTACTGCTAGCGTTTGATATGATATCCCATCGTCTTCATAATTTGGGCGGTAATGTTGAACACCGCCAGTTTCATGGCATTTGTCATGGTGATGGTGTTGGTCTTGGTGCTTGTGGCGGTGACGATGCTGACGGGCATTGTAATCAACGTGTTTACAATTTACGATCATGACCATGATGATGATGGTTGTGATGGTGACGATGGTGATGAAAATTATAAGCTGATGCTGATGGTGATGATGATGGTGCTGTTGATGATGAGGCAGGTGGTGATGATAATGATGATGATGGTGATGATGATGCTGCTGATGCTGCTGATGATGATGATGCTGATGATGCTGATGATGCTGCTGATGATGATGATGATGATGATGATGACGATGATGATGATGATGATGATGATGATGATGATGATGATGATGATGATGATGATGATGATGATGATGATGATGATGATGATGGCGGTTGGGTTAGCGCCACGCCGCAATAGGTGCTCCGGTTCGAATGCCCCCCAAAGTCTGTTGCATCTATGGGCGGGGGTTGTTGACCCCCTTTTCGCAGCGCAGAGAGCTGCGGGGGGGGGAGGGGGGCGCAAGTCGCATCGAATTTCCTGACGTTTCGCGCATCCCCGCCGGCTCATCCAGCAACGATGCCCAGGTGAGTTGCCTTGATCTGGGAAGTGAGGGGGCACGCGGCGAAATCTACAGCTGGGGGTCAGCGTGACCAGGCCCAGGAGTGAAGCGCGCATGCCTCTGCGGCCTTGCCGAGCGAGGGAGGGCGGGGCGAGAGGGCGGGGGGGGGAATGCGGGAAGGAAGAAGACGAGGGGGAACATGGCAGAACAGAGATGGGGACATATGATGGGAGACGGGGGGGCAGGAGGAAGGCGATCATAATGATGATTACCTTGGTTGGACACCAACTCGTGCAACTTCTGGCAACTCTGGCTGGGCGCAGGAGGAGGATAGCGAGGGGCGTGGAGGGCGACGGGGGAAACGGAGAGGAGGAGCAGGGGGGGAGGCTTATGAGGAAAAGAGTGACGGGTGAGAGGGCGATAGCGACGACGACGACGACGACGACGACGACGACGACGACGACGACGACGACGACGAGAACGACGACCATTCAATCGTAGATGCATCTGCGGACTTTTGCCCTTGAGGCCTTTTGGAGGTCTTTTGGGGCCCTCGTTTGGCCATTCTGCGAGCTTCCGGGACTCTCTTGGGGCTGTCCGAGGGCTTGCTTCGGAGCCTATGAAGCCCTATCGGGGCCATTCTACAGGCCTCGCCTAACGAGGGGGGAAGGCCCGATTTGGCATCCCCCCCTGGGCCCCCACAGACGCCGCATGGGGCGCTCTGGGGGCGCCTTGGAGCGCCCTGGGAGCCCTCCCGGGCCCGGGGCCGCCCGAGGTTGCCCCCCCGGGAAAAACAAAACAGAGCCCGTCAAATGCCGAACGTTTGTCCCAACCCCGTTGTGCGCAGTTGGGCCCGCGCTTTGCAGCTGCAGCGCGCGCGTCGTCTTATTTCGTCTTATATCGTGCTAGATCGTCTGATATTGTCTTGCCGTTTCATATCGTATTACAGTATTATCGTTTCTATCGTCTGGTCGTCTGTTACATGTGTTTTACCCTTGTGTGTTCCTTCTCTACCGTCATTTTGTCATGCGATCGTCTGGGCGGCCATCTATTGATCGCCCGCCCGTTTTGTTCTGTCGTCTTGCATCGCAGCATTTCTGACCTCACTGCGTATACCTGTACGAGTACACAAGTGTACATAAGTAGATACATGCATACACAGCGATGTATCGATGTACACATGCACACGTGCGCACGTATGTATAAGCGTCTGTTCGTGTCGCCACGCAGTCCCGACAGGAACATGCCGTACTCAGACACATGCAGCATCAGCGGCGAGGCGCCCCAACGACTGTGTCGGCCCAGAGGGTGCCGTTGAGAAAAACAGTCGTCTGGGCGGATGACCGAACCAGATGCAATCGTGAATCTCGCCGTTGTGGGAACTGCCTTTGGTGGAACTCCCTATGGGCACAAACCGCGAAGGGTGCGCCGCAATGGGGCGGGGCCGCCATGCGGGCGCTGCCGATGGGGCCTTTCGGTGGAAATGCCCATCGGGCCGCGAAGCGTTTGCGGGGTGTGCCAACGTGTGTGGGGGGGGTGGGGGGCGGCACGCGAACCACTCCGCTGGGGCCTTCGGTGGAGCCCCCTTGTGGTGCCACGAAACGTGTGAGGGGTGTGCCAAAGTGGGGGGGTGGGCGGCATGCGAACCATTCCGTTGGGGCCTTCGGTGGAGCTTTTAATGGAGCCACGAAGCGCGTGAGGAGCGCGTGCCAAACTGGAGGGGGGCGGCATGCGAACCATGCACTGGGGCTTTCGGTGGGATCTCTATGGGGCCCCGAAGCGTGCGAGAGGTGTCAATCGTGGGGGGGGGGGGGTGCGGCATGCGGACCGTGCCGCTGGGGCCTTCAGTGGAGCTCCCTGTGGTGCCGCGAACCGTGTGAGGAGTGTGCCAAGTTGGACGGGGTGCGGCATGCGAACCATGCAAGTGGGGACTTCGGGGGAGCGTCCTA